GGGGGGTGTGTCAATAGCTGCATTTTGATTGGTCTATTGTGTAGTCACACAATCACCTTTGGTCACACAACTCACTCGTAGCTTTTAGGTTTGCGGCGTACAGTGCCGAAAATGATCCTGGACGGGAAATGATCCCCAAAATGGACAGTAAATGATCCTTAACGGCAAATGGTCCCCACTGTCGACCGCAAAAGAACCCCTGAAAGACCTGAAAAATTGAGAAATGGAAAGGTACTGAGAACTTGAACACAGTGTAAAACGTTAACAGTCAAATGAATATAACGACAATATACTGCTAAACAACAACAGGAAATTAAGCTTGTTTTTTAGCAACAACAACAACAACAACCCTATTTATTTGAATTATATATATTTATCATATACACACCAATGAAATACCAGGTGAGCTTTCGCGCGTAAACATGATATGTAACACTGTTGCTATGGCTACTTTATAAATCGTCCCTTGCGCAGGATAAAACTGTTTCAGTGAAATGGTTTGGTATTTCATTGGTGTTTATATAATAAATAGAACATTACATGGCCGCTTGGAGATACGAAATTTCTCTTCTCGTGTTGAAAATATTTCACTCGTTCGCTGCGCTCACTCGTGAAATATTTTTCAACACTCGAAATGAAATTTCGCATCTCCGCGCGGCCATGTAATATCCTCTATACATAAAATACTATTACAAATAGAGAGAGTACAGGCACCCATAATAACCATTGAGGGCTAAAGAGATTGGGCAGCCTTATTTAAGTTATTAATAAATGATTTTGATAAGGGTCAACACACGACACAGCTGTACGTCATGCCTGACCGCTGACCGCTTCCCCAAGGAATTAAGAAGTAAAGAGATATGGTGGTTTACACGTGACGTCACCGCGGCCATGTTGGTGGCCAAGAACAAAAGCATTTGTCACCACTGGGAATTTTAAAAACTCTATTTTCATGTAAACTCTTTGAGAAAAAATTCTATTGCTGATTGACCTCCAACATGGCCGCCTTGTCACCCCCTGTCAAATAGTTGCAAACTAAGAATTACTAAAGAAATGTTCTAACAGAGACAATTGTAATCAGTTAAAATAATTTTTGGTGTGAAAATAAACTTCATAAGATGATCCAGTAACTTGAGTTTGCAGTCGACGGCGGTCGAGGATCATTTGAGGTCAGGAGCCGTTATGGGCTAGTGTTGAGGTCCATTTTGGGGATCATCTGCAATAAAAAAGTGCTAATAATTGCATGCAATTTCTTTGTTACCTGATATCTTGAGTCCCATGTAGCCTCCCACGCAGGCGTTTTTAGGGGAGCTCGTATTTCTTCCCTCCCCACAAACGCCGTTTGTGGGGAGGGAAGAAATACGAGCTCCCCTAAAAACGCCTGCGTGGGAGGCTAAGTCCCATGTTGTGCGAAAAGTTGCGAACATACTTTGAAAGGTGTAGTTCATACAGCGAACAGAGTACCATAGCAAAGGTAGATTTATTGGGGGGTCCAATCACGAGCGCCCTAGTCAGGGGTCCGGGGGCCTGCTCCCCGGGAGGATTTGGAAATATGGGGTCTCTAAAATAGCATTTTCAGCCTTCCGAGGGCATTTGTTTCCAGCAATTTTTAACGAAATGATTAGTTTTCACACTTTGTTGAACTGAAGTGAACACATTCAATCGAAGGAGATCAAACCATTCGTCAAGTGCTCACTTAAAAGAGGTTAAAAACGGTGGAAAATCCCGCGTAAAACAGGGTCACTACCAAAAATGTTCGAGGTCGCTTTTAAGAGACCACGATTTTCCCACCACTTTTAAAGTTTTAAAAGCGGCAGGTGGTCGCACATGGATGGTTCGACTGTGATGTAACCGTAGGGCAGTATCCAGTTTACTTGATAGAACAGTGTTGAATGCAATGAGATCACGTGTGAATGCAAAAAGTGAGAGAGAAACCTCCCAGGGCAAGGACGCGTTAGCGGCCCATTTCTTCAGTTTTCAAGGGTTACACGGGACGATTCGCAACGACGATTTTTACGGAAACACAGCGTTGCAATGTTGGAACAATGTGGTAACTATTCGAAACTATGTCGCAACAATGTTGCAACGCTGTGTTGCTCTAAAAATCATCATTGCGAATCGTCTCGTGTAACATCACCTTAAGCAACAACGACGGCGACGACTTCGGAAACATCACTCCAAAAGTGAAGTCGCGCTGCTGAAAACTTTATCGCGGTTATTCCATCTCCTTCAATTCGTCAAATACCGTTAGCAATATTTTCTGGAGTTGATATCGAGGTCCAGAAAAAGAAAAGAAAGTCATGTTCTTGCAATCAAGTCCTCCACAAAACGTGAAAATAGGCATTTTCACGTGGTAGTCGTGCAGAAATGTACAAAAAAGCGTGATGCACGTGCAAAGTTGTTGTTTTGCCAATCTAAGCCTATTGCTTTTTTGCCGTTCTCGTTGACGTCGCCGTCGTCGTTCCTTAAGCTCCCTTTTATGTATTTCGGAAACACCTAGAATTTACCGAGGGGTAGAACTATAGTCTACAATGCAGCCCTATTTTTCGGGCAAGCGATACAATCCTTGTCCGGGAATACTTTTCAACCCTTATCGTAGGAGTTCAGGCGAAAGATAGGCGGTCCTCCTTCAGGGATTTCATTGATGAAAAAATGGAAAGTCATTTGAAGTGATTCGTAAACTTAAAGTCATGGTAAAAACGTAAAAGTCGTGGTGACGACTTTCAGTTTCTTCATGAAATTCCTGAAGAAGGAGGGCTTGACTGCCTAAATGGGCCGGGAAATTCAAGTCGCTCTTCTCTTCGCTGTTTTGCTCTGAAAGTTCATATGTCTTGGATTTGGATGTGTTCGTCTTAATCATAAGTGTCTCTAGCTAGCAGGCTAGGGGGAACTAGCCTGTAATCAGACGTTGTTTTATTTTTCTTTTCGTTCTTTTCAAAAACATCGGCCCCTGCGGTTTATATTTTATCACCCACGTTCGACGGACTTTGAAGAGAAAATAGAGGGTCTGTGAACAGGCTAAGAGGGAACAACAAGGTTTGACCCTGTAAACTTCATGTAAAACCTCGTTCGCAAAACAATATTAGAAAACATCAACACAAGTTTATTTTCATATTTTTTTATACACCCGCAATAAAATAAGACTACTTAAATCTGTAATTAAAATAATAATATTAAATATTTCAATACCTATTTGGATTCGAATTTAACTATATAAGTATCTTCCCAGAAGACAGAAAGTTAACCCTAAAAATACATCTGACTGCTCCTTACTGCTTAAAACCTAGTCAGTTTTATTAGTAAGTACAGTCCCGTACTGTTTTGAATCCAGGTTAGGGAGCTTATTAAGTAACGACGTCTTTTAACGATGCATGTCAACCGGTAGAGGACCCTTTGCAATAATTGGGAAGTGATTTTGTCTAAGTTTTAAGGCACAACGTCTCTATGAGAGTTATAACACTTATCAATAAAAATTTGGTAGTGTCAAGGCATAGTAAAGGGTGGAACCTCACTTCCGATTTACTGACATGCGTCGCTCACAAAAGTCTTTGCTTAATTAAGCTCCACTTCTCTAAAGAGTATCACCTCCGAACCGCATGCTTATAAATACATGTTGTAACTCTCGTCTTAAATAAAATGTACACATGAGGAGACGGGTCTGAATATAGACCTGAGCGAGAAAATAACATAGATGTCAGAATGAGAATTAAGAAGTAAATTATTGTCTCGAGATCAGGCCATTCGCTGGCTTCAACAGAACACTTAAAGAAGTACGTACGCCTTAACAAAAAGAACAACGTTTTATACACTTTTTATAAATATGCTTTATCTACGAATATTTTAGTGTATATGCCGCCTTTTGAATAAATAAATAAGAGGCTCTATTTTGATTTAATGATTTCATTCAATCGATGAGAATGTACACAATTCTCATCAGCAATATATAGAGTAGGTTTAATCTTGATCTAACCAACAACGGATTTAGTTATAGCCCAACGCCCTTTTTGTATAAAATCAAAAAAACTGTTTTCTTTTTCCGCCGTAAGTTTTCGATGTACGTATATCAGTAAGAACATTCCTGCAACACTGCCATTTTTGGTCCGATTGCCCAATTTATAAAAAAAATTTAAAATACAATATTTTGGTTAATCGCTCGATCGACCTGCACCCATCCAAACCTCTTATTTTATTGGTCCCTATAACCTGCACTACCTACTGTTTTCAGGGATAGGGGCATTGTTATGTCACCATCCCTATTGTTTTCCCAGCCAATCACAAACCTTGTTTGGAATAGGTGCAGGTCGGCCCTAATCGTTCTTTTTTGCAGATATGCAGGTGCCCTAAGATTACAAACAAAATACGTTTATGAACACCAGTCAAAGGAGTTGTATCAGAGATGATGACTTAGAAGAGACGACTGACGTTAGACCAGGCCTGCAAATTGCATGTTGAGCTATTTTGGGATACAGTCACTCTGAATGGTTCGTCTCAGAGCTATCTGACCTTCCTTTATGTATTTTTACTGAACGAAAAGCTGTACAGAAATGTTCTTTCCCATTTTTTCTTTCACGACAAACTCCAAAACATTTATTCCTTTTTCTTACTGCCGTGACTTATGTAATAAAATTTTGCTGAGATCCACCTTGGGTCATCATTTGCCAAAACTAAATTTGTGCACGCGTCGTCATTGTACTCTTGACCGCGGTGGGATGTTTGGTCAGCCTCAAACACTACAAGGAATGGATCTGAACCACCGTACTAGAAAGCTTGTACGAATACACTGCCATAGGTATTCGTGATTCATTTAAGCCTAAGGTATAGGCGAATCGTTGCAGACGTCATTGTTTACATTTTTCCTCATCAGCCTACCACTTAACCCCTAGAAGCCGTGGCTGTATATACGAACTAAATTCAAACGTTGAAAGAGCTGATTAACTTGTCAATGAGTTATTTGTGCAATTTTAAGCTCTTTGCAAGCAATATTGAAGAAAATATCAGCCATCGAAAACTACGAATTAAATTGCTACGTGGCAAAAAAGTTAATGAGTCATACATTCTTAGTAAAATTTCGACTTTTTAAAAGAGAATTTCTCCGAAACCATTTACTATATCGGGCTCAAATTTTCAGAGATTACTGAAATTGTTATGCTCTTTCAATGTTCAGAGGTTTTATTTTATTAGCTTCATCAGATAATGATGAGTATATGTTAATGAGGTAAAAAATGTACAAAAAGATTCGCCTATATAAGGGTGGGTACGACTGATCGTATTCCGAAATAAGAATACACAAAAACGTTGATACAAATTCATTTCAAGTAGATTTCTAGATGTTGCGACGTAATGAATGCCAAAACAAGGAATTTCATTTGTTCTTATTTCGGAAAATTATCAATCGAACACATCCTAAACATAGTAAACTTATTGCACGGGGAGATGTGGCTCTCAGTCTGCACGCTTTTAATTGACCTTCTTCAGTAGCCATAAGCGTTAACTTTATTTCGTAATTAGTTCGCAATAGCAAATAAGGTTTGCGATGTTTTGAAAAATCAGTCGACATTATTTGTTTTTCAGTGGAAAGTAAAAAACTTCCTTTCTCGTAATTTAAGCTCGGTTTATTTCTCTATATAATCAGTATCATCATAACAAGAGATTCATTGTCGGAGGTTTCTTCGCGTATCTATAGTTTCGCTCCAAGAATATTGGACATGATAAGACCAATGTGTGTAATGAGGATAATTTTCATTTTAGTGCTTGATATACTGAATTTAATCTGTCAAATATCATTATTCGACTGTTTTGTCCAATCAACTTGTTATGTGATTTCTCCGAACAAACTGAGGCGCCTTCCACCCAGTGTTATGTTACTTAGCAGACGGTTCATTAGACGAGGTGGTTGATGTCTGTATGTTAACTTGCTCCTAAGCGCTAGCAGTGCATTTTGCCACACTGCTCTCAGTTAGTACAATTTGGTTTATACTAGCGTTTCTATTAAGTTTACACTGGCCTGTCCATTTGATTTACACTACCGTTTCTCGTTCACACAAGGAAAGATCTGTCACACTAACTTTTGGCCATGTTTTAAGCGCGTCCTGGAAACTGGACAACTCCGAGAAACACTCGACATATTCGTTAACCTCTTCCAATATCCCTTCAAACATTTCACTGTAATAATCGGGCGCTAGAGGTAATTCAGGGATTGAAACATCACTCTGTTGGGTTAACTCTTTAACTAAGGCAACAGCCTTACCGGAAAAGTCACTTTCCTCCTCTTCGCCTGCGCACGTTGACTTATCCTCAGACTTAATGAAGTAGACTGGAGGATCCGGCTCGTTGATTAGTGGTCCCTCAACTATCAGCGACTTCACACGGTGAACAGCACCACTATAAAGTTCAAGATCATTGTCCTTTATGGTAAGCGAGGTATCGCTCCTGTAGTAGCCACTCTCTGTTATTAGGTCTTGTTTGAGGCTATTTTCTAATAAATCAGTGTTTATTTTATTATTCTTTTCAGTATTGTCTTTTAGTACCAGGTCCAAACTCTGCGTCTTCCATGAGAGATCACTACCAGTTGAATTCCATGAGTAGCCACTTAAGCGATTTTCGTCCAGGTTTGACGTAGACGAAACAATTTTGTTAGTGTCATGGTTTTCACTATAAAGACTTGCATCTGACTCCTCGGATACGAACCCGCTCTCTGTAGACTTGGAAATTGTGATATAAGGAAGATTATCTTTGCTGTCATAGTCTGAGGTACCAATCACCTGTCCAACTTCTTGCTCGTTAGAACCTGCATTCTTGAGGCTTTCAAACGATTTATTTGTTACCAGCTCGACGTCAACCAGGGGTTCAGTCATAAGCTCGAGAGACTCCGCGCTTGTCCCTGACGTTTCCGCCTCTGCAACAGGCTCTAACTTTAAACAACTGTTTACGCGACTGTCAACTCTTATTTCGGACAGTCTTGCCAGGGATGTGTGACTGGCTTCTCTGCTGTTGGAGTATCGCTCATTTAACAGGGATAGATCCCGAAAACTCCCCTCGGGAACAATTGAAAACAATATGAAACTGCTTGGGCGTGATCCCAAGTTCAATCTGTCCACATGTAAACGACTTCCGTTGAATTCTTCAGGGAAACTTTCCAGCGAGAGTTGAGAAGTTAATTTGGCTTTCTGATCCTCAAAAAAATCATCCTCTAAGTCAATAACATTATTTGCTGAGACAGTTATCTCGGGAATGAAGACTTTTTGCCGGGTTTTCCTAGAAGTGACAAGAATGGGGACGAGGAACATGATGCAGCTTCCACCAACGACGAGTCCGCTGGACAGGAAGAACACTATATTGTAGCTGCCTGTACTGTCATAGAGCAGACCTGAAAAATATGAACAAAAGTGAAGCACAATGCTGGGTTAGGCCTGATCCATATCGTTCCAATCGCCTCCAATAGAATTTCCATTCGGCTCCGTCGAGCTTAGATACCCTCATTAGAAGGCAGCATCCCTGGTTCTCCGTGCTCTTTGAGCATGTCTAGAGATGAGGACGAAAGGTGAAAATATTAATTAATCTTTACTCAACGTCTGTGCATTAAAGTGTATATGACACGAGATTTTTTCAAACTTATTTTGGTCCATGGATAAGTTTAATTAACAGTTGTGAACTTTAAAAGTATGTCTCCAAAAATGATTTCTTAATTTTTGGCCATCCAAAAACTGCTTCCAACGACTGGAAAGTAGAGTATCAAAGAAAGGTTGGTGACGTCATGTGACGTCAGTTAGTTGACTCAGACTTCGCTTCCGATTTTGGTCATTGCTATGCACTTTGATCTTGCAAACCATTCTACGTCATACTTGTCAATTTGGCCGCGCGATAGGGTGGACATTTTTCAAGGCAAATTCGAGTGTTTTAAAGACGAAAAATTGGTTTTGCAAGGTTATTGACGAGTTTCAATTTCGGATACATACCGTAAAACTCCGAAAGTAAGCCCCTTCGTGTATAAGCCTATCCAAATATTAGCCCCCCAAATTCTCAACGCAAAAAACCCTTCGTTAAATCACCCCTCCAAATATAAGCCCCCAGGAGCTTGTACTTGGAAACTGCCCTCAAATTCAAAATAAAACAAAGAAATACAATAACACATAAGATTTTTCCATCTGCCAAAGAACTGCATGTATTACTTGTGTCAACAAATGATTGCAGTCGAAAAGTGTCACAGTATATTGCTGTTTGCGTAGTTCACTCTTCACTCTTGGCTTGGATTTCCTCGCTCCATATAGACAAAGTACTTGCATGGATGAGTTCTAAAAATATCCACGTCCTCGGAAAAATCCTTCTGCAAATTACGGACATAAATTGCCTCCCAACTATAAGATAGCCCCATCGATTTTGAGACGCAAATTTCCCTCAGTCTGTATATAAGCCCCTCCAACGTCGGAATTTTACGGTATCTTATACAATTGGTGTCATATACAGTATAAAGAAAAAAATTAATAGAAAACAAAATTGAAACAGTTACAAAGTCAACTACATATTTGGAGCTACCTGCCACTTAAGCAAATCTCAAGCATGCAACTTAAAATCCAAAAAGGCTTTTATCACTTTTGGTGCTGTGAGACTTTCTCTCGTAACAGGTAACTTGCCAAGACGATGCTAGCCTGGGACAAGGCTCCTTATAGGGGTACTTATAGGACTGAGAAAAAGGGCGAAGATCGGGGCGTGCGCGAAGAAAGAGGTGAACCGAGCAGGGTATTAAGAAGAAAGAGGGATGGCCACTCTGTACCCATCCATAGTCCCTCGCTTCGCTCTTAGCCAGGTCCTAAACTAAGACAATGCTCGTAGCAGTAAAAGGGATATGTACCTGCCATGGGAGGTCCTATTGCCATTGGGATCGCTACTATTCCAAAGAGTGTCCCCACAGCTTTGGCCATCATCCCCCGTCCCACGATGTCATGCGTCACCAAGCCAATCATTACGCAAAGGCAACCATCGAATAGGCCCGACACCAGAGAGTACGTGAGTAAGGCCGTATGAGATCGGGCCAGTGGGCACAGACATGCTGCCACCGCAATTACCAACAGAGATATTTGAGTCAGAGTCAAACGACTTATTCGGGGTGAGTCTCCAAGTTTGCCGAAGAGAATCTTTCCAACCGTTTGAGCCAAAGCGAAGTAGCCGACCAGCAGAGCGCCTTGACTGGAGGGAATTCCAATGCTCTCTGCCAGACGAATCTGTAGTAAAGAATGATTTAAATAAGAACTTGTCAAAAAATGAGTTAGCCTAAATTAAGGTGCATGGAGACCCGGGTCTCGTGCCTCCAATCCCCTCCTCCGCCAGTGTTTCGTTCGTTTGCAGAACATTTTTTTTACATTAACCATCGAACCTCCAATAATGGCTACCACTCCACAACAGCCACCCTCCTACAACGGTCATTTGTTTCGGCGGACAGTCCGTACATAAACTCTTGTTTCAACCTCTCTACAATGACCACTTTCTTCTGTTGAGAGGCTTTGCCCCCTTTGTAATAGATCCGAAATTGGTGATGAATTCCACTATTTGTTGAAATGTACCCACTCATCACTTTCTCATATAAGGGGTATCTTCTTGGAGAGCCTATACTCGATAAACAGTAATTTTACGAATATGTCTTACAAAGCACTATTTTTATATATCATGTCCATGTGCGATCAAAACATCTTAAATCTCAGTGCCTCTTATATTGAAAATATTCTAAATTGTTATGCATCCGAACTCTAATTAAACTTTTCGAAACTTTCTTACCATACGAGTAGCGTAGAAGCCGTACATAGCCAAGTAACGTTTTCTTTTATGGTAATGAGTTTCTGATAATATTCAATTGTTCCTTTCTTTCTTACTTAACTTTTATTTTACTTTTTTCATTTGTTATTGTTTTGGTACTGAAATCTTCATGTCAAAGATAAAGTCAATAAAGTTGTTGTTGTTGTCTGTTCCCGAGGTGGCCGTTGTAGAGAGGTTCAAGTGTATCCTGAAATGATTCGTCCCATCTAAGGTAATCCTCATCAGAACCACCGCGGGTGAAAGAGGGAGGAAAATCTGGAGGACAGAAACCCTTCCCAATATCAAAAGCGAAATAACACTGAAATCATCTTAAGACAAAAGTACAGCAGCAGTGTGAGAACTGATTACATCAAACACACAAGTAATTTTGCCATTCCCGGAATTCTGGACTCAGCTATTTCCAGTTAAGATCAGTTAAAAACTAATACAAACGATTCCGTTAAACTCTTAAAAAGAATACTGCAATGTATATCTAGCCGAATTTTTCAAAACGAACCTTGCGCAATTTGGGTTTTGCTAATAGCAAGCCTGTGGCCTATGACCCGCAGCGGGGCCTTTCCTTAAATTACTTATAATTACCGTAGGTTCATTTGATTAGAAAGCGAAAAAGTGATAGCCTGATAAGCTGACAACTGATGAATCTCACAGTTGACATATTTCTTCATATCGCTTTATCTCAGGTCCCATCCCAAATGACTCGGACGTTAAAAAATTCAGTGCTTTGGTAAAGAAGAGGCTTCGTGATTTGAACTTTAAAGACTTTGGCTACGTTTTGATTGCAAACAAGTTGCCTCCGCGGTACAGAGGGACGCCGAAGTTAGCTTTCCTTCAGAATATTCCTTGGCTTGCAGTATTTGATTTGTTTGACGCTACTTCTAAAAAGGATGGTTTGTACTATGCCTGCAACGAAACAACTGATGCACCAAGAGCAAAACTCAGAAGCCTAGATGATTTTAAAGAAGCTCCATCTGACTGGATTTCGGGAAAACCGGCAAAGGATTCGATATCTCAACAAGAGGTACGACTTGGATTTTGGGAAATGAGGAAAAGCAGAAAGGAGATTGGATAAAATGTTCCAAGGACTGTTTCTATCGAGCTCTTTCCACCTACAAATTCTGTTGTCCACTTGGGCGGCTCATGTGCTTGTTCCTAGGTCTTGATGAAAGTAACATTCAAGAGATGGTTGACATGATGGAATGTTGTTTCAGCATCCTTGGAGATTCGGCCAGCAATTGCGTTACTGTTATCAGCGAAAGCAAACACGTAACAGATGCCTTCATCAAAGCTTCCAGGCTGCAAAGAGAACTCAGAGATTGCTCCATTACAGATATACCTTGGTCACTCTTGAGAGAAATTGTCCGCGATATGGTCGGACCAACTAAATTTGAGGAAAGAGGGGCTAAAACGGAGCTTCCTTTTTTTACTGGGTTGTTGAAAGAGGTGTTCAACAAGATGATTCATTCGTGGGATGATCTTGAAGTCTATGTTCCAAATCCGCGGTTGCCGAGATTGGTAGAGGACATAGAGAAAGCCAGAAATGCCTTTTACAAGGGTGCGCAAGCTAGTCAAACCAATCTATTTCACAACCATTGCATTGAAAGAACACTGGAAGAAGAAACGATGCAGAAGATTGAACAAGCTTTAAAGACATTGTCAAAGCCCAGCAAAGACACCAGCTCTCACGTCATCACCGTTACCGTTACTTACGAGCCTGGATCTGGAGCAACTACGCTTTGTCGCAGAATCCTTTGGAAAAAACGTACGCAATACCGTTGCGCTGTTGTTAAGGCAATCACAACCAACACAGATTATCAAATCGAGCAACTCCAAGGAATCACGTACGACGAAAAAAACTTTAAATTTGCCCCTCCTTGTCTCGTTCTTGTTGATAACTTTCCTGAGAATGAAACAAGACGACTAACTGAGAAAATCACAAGAAGGCAGACTAAGTGTGTGATTCTATCCACATTTCCAATTGGAAAGTTAAGTGCAAACTCGCATTTTGATTTGACGTTGCGACAACTGGACATTAAGGAGATGAGTCTGGTTAAAGATATTTTGATTAATATCACAAGCGATAGCAAGCGAAGAAGGGGAGCAGAGGAGGTTCTTGAGAGGGAGAAACGATTCATTTGGTTCGGATTGGAGCTGTTTGGACGCGAGTATGACAAGATTGAGGAAAGGCTTCAGAACCACATCAAGAGTACCCTTGATTTTTTGAATGATTCTCAAGAAATTCATGAGACGGTTCTTAATTTCTGTTGCTTTCTTCATTATTACAGCGACGGCCGAGCCATTCTCCCGCACCCTGTTGTCACCGACTTGCTCTATGAAGCCAGTGACGAGAATGAAGAAAAATGCGCATTAATGCAGCACATCCACAAAATCTTTGGTGGACTTCTTCTCGAAGGGTTTGATGAAACAAATGGTTACTACGGATGGAGACCAGCACATTCTCTGGTCAGTGAAGCTGTCACATCAAGAATCAATGTTGAAGAAACAGCAATAGCTTTGATGGAACAGATTCAGAAAGGAAAAGCCTACGTCAACAAGTTTTTAAAGGAGCAAGTTTTTAAGGTGTTCTTAGATCGAAAGCGAATTTCAGATCCAGTGTATCTGAAGTACAATGAAACGCATGATGAAAGCATCGATTCAGATTTCGAAGACGATGTACTTGGCTTTTATGAAGTGAAAACGCGCTATTCTCCCCTAATATTAGATATACTGGAGGGAAACGATGGCATTCAAAGAGCCCTTCGGTTACTCATTAAGATCTGTCTAATGGCTTCTGAAGTGGAGGAGAAGGCATACGCTTGGCAGCAGCTGGCGCGATTCATGGGCTATGAGATGCGTGCGAATGAGATGGAAGCAAAAAATGAGGAACATTGCCGTCTTCATACAACTATGATTGAAGAACGAGGAATTAAGCTGCCCATGCCTAAAATAGGTATCGAAGCAGCACACATTGCCGTTGATATTGCGATTAACCAACAGCCTAAGTACAGTCATCACTATGTGACCAAAGGAACTCTGTACCTTCTGCAGCTAAGAGATTTCAAATCAGAGGACGGGCCTACCCTTCCCGCCTCCATGACTGAAGTGATTGATGTATGTCGCAAAGCACTAGAAGTCTACGACAAGGCACTTAGTACTACTCATGAGCTCAACTATTATTCAATGATAGGGAAAGTTCAAGCCATTGTCTCGCTTCTTCAAATAGTCAAAGGTTTGCCGTTCTTTCGCTTAGATGGTGAAAGCATTACAAAGTATCTAAAGACAGCTGATATTCCAAGTGAACTGGAAGAGGTACTCACCCAGGAAGAACACAACTACATAAAAGATCTAAGTTCTACGACACTTGGTCTTCTTAATGAAATTTTCGGAGATGTTAAGTTCCGACTCATGACTACTTATGGTGACAATGCAATCAGAGGTTTAATTAATGCCAAATTGAGGGCGTTGAAATTGCGAAGAACCTTTTATGAAGTGACGGGTTTCGATAGAAGCCAGCTGCGTGATATGGTAGTTACGACGTCTTCCCAACCGTTTACGAGGGATGCCCAGGCTCTTTGCCAACAGTTTGTACAAGATGTTCTTTTCATAAACAATGAGACCACGTACAGCACATGGCTTAATTTAAGCGATGGAGAAGTTTCCCGGATTTATAACTCGCTTAAAGTGCTTTGCTCTCGTGGCTATGGAAGTCATGATGACATGCTTATTTGTTGTAAGGCTTGTCTTCGTTTACAAGAGAAACCATCCGTCGAAGAGCTGGACGAAATTGTGACCATGTGGGTGTCGAAATTTCCGGATTCAGAATGGGCCCATCTATTTAACTACATGATTCATTTCCCAATTCCAGATAAACGGCTCGCGTTCTTCAATTATTCCGCCAAAGAATCAATCAAGAAATGCGACAAAATCGTCCTGAAGAAGACAGGAAAAGGATTCCGGAAATCTGGTGCAGAATACTTTCTTGGAAAGGGAACTGGATTGTACGCCATTGCAAACAGTCAACAGTTTCGATCGCTTGAAAAGGGGGGATCTAAAACCAACCTCTGGAGAAGTAGAGAGATCTCAGAGAAGCTAGAACGAGTGTGCGGTCAAAAGGATGTCAACTTCAACGGTGTTATAACGTACCAAGGAATTCAGCTACGTTTTGACGACAAACGTTACCCAAAGCAAAGTAAAGACGACTTGTGGTTCTACGTTGGCTTTTCTCTTTCTGGACCTTATGCATATGACCCTGTTGACAATGATACTTACGCAGCCATCTTAAGTCGTAAGGACATCGAAACTTTCGATTGGGAATTCCCTCTGATCGATTACGCAAATGGAAAGGACAACCTTACCGCAGCTGTACCAAGAAGAGAAAAACAATATGAGCCGAGGAATCCGAAAAGAGGACAAAAGGCAGTAGCAGCAAATGCTGGGGATTTTTCCGATATTTCCATCAGCCCACTATCAAAGGAAAAACAATATATGAGCTCATCAGTGCCAAATTTGCTCAACACGCTAATCAGTGGCTCCCCCGACGTTCCCGGAGAACCAGAAAAGTCTGCTGTTTCGTCCAGTTGTTTTAATACCCACGCTAGGAGTGCTATGTCATCCTGGGTCAGTATTGAAAACGTCTACCAACCAGGCACATCGTCTCACCCTGTCTCGTATGCTTCCGCTGTGCAGCAAGGGCGTTCACGACAGGAGGAACAACTACCAAAATCCCCAAGCCGACCACGGAGTGGCCCCTGGAACGTCTTTTCTGCACAAGGACGCAAATGGAAGTCCATTGAGGTTACTCGTGGAACAGAAAGGTACAAGTTTACACCCAAGTATGTTGACGAGGCAGGCAAGCTTCATCATGGAGCTTGGGTACTTGGCGCTAAAAAATCAAAGGAGTGCGAAACTCATACATGTGGGGTTCCCGATATCAACATCACAAATCGTTGTCCTTTTGCTCATTCTTGGAGGGGAGATACCCTTCAGCATGTTTGTTTAAAGTGCACACGCGCGAATAAACCAAATTGTAAAGAAAGGCGCCCTCATGAGCCATTTATTTATAACTTGGGACCTTACTGTACTGAGGAGGGAAAAATCTGGAGAGAAACGCGGGCAGAACAGCCAAAATGAAGATAGCTTGCCACCTCACTCTATAAGAATTAAAAGGCATCACCATGCGAGCTATGACGTACCACCCGTTAATTAGAAACCATTTTTCCAATAGCTGTGTTTTCCAACTAAGTTCTGTAAAGTTCTCGGAATGCAGCTCATCATGTACAAACAAATACAAAATCGGCGAAAGCACCCAAAAAAAAACTTGATAAAAAGACCAACACACGAAGTGCTATTAATAAGAATTATTGCTCATAGTAGCTAAGTGACTAAGTGTTCGTCAACGAGACGCCATGGATGCATAACAAACAGTAAAGACTGTTGCACACCTACTTGTATACCTGACAAGGATCCATGTAGAACGCTGCTGGGACTTACTCATGAGACTTAGCAAGACTTTGTAACGATTCAAAGTTTCTTCCTTTTTGTGATGGGAGGTGGACCACCTTCTGAATAGAAACGCTATCTCTGGTAATAGAAGAAAGATAGCTTCTGAGACTTGCTCTGTCGGGCACAACAGAATAAGACGAACACATTGTGAATGGTGATGATAATCACAAGTAATATAACTTCGATTTTGGTGACACAACTACTCAAGTGAAAATGAGAAATGGTTCAGAGACAGTGAAGAAAATGACGGAAGAGTCAAGATGGCTCAGTGACATTTCAAACCTCAATTTGATTCTGATGAGCTGTAATTCGCATCAGGAAGTAGGATTCCAGTGTTTGACAATTTATTCAGTATCTGCAAAAGTTATATAATGTATATGGCATTTCAAGTCACAGTCTTTCATGGGCTTCTGGACTCGCTGGCGTTTCTTCGTATTAAAGGGTCTAGATGACCCCAAACCCTGATCTGTACTACGCTGAAGAGTAATTAGTAGAGGGTCGAGTAAAACTAGTGGACGCTTTTAATGATTCAAAAGGCGAACGGCAGACACTGGAAAGGAGAACAATAGGAGATAACATGTGTCACCAGAAAGAGAATTTGCATTTCATGTCGAGTGAAAATGACAAGAATGCCACTCTCCGGGGAATTTGTGTATATGTTGTGCAAGAAATTGACTGGTCGAGTTTTTGTGAGTTACGAATTAACAGTTAACAACTTAAGCGGTGATAATGGAGGGTGATGTAATATATCAAACATGAGATGCAGTGTTTCATCACCAGATGAAACACCGAGAAGAGAGTTGAAAATACGACGCGCAGCGGAGTATTTTTGACGAACTTCGAGGTGTTTCATCTGGTGATGAAACACTGTGTCGAATGTTTGATATTTCTTCTCAAACAAAATCTTTTTTGACGGAGAAATTAAGGATGCAAAAATGAGCAGTTTTTCATCTGATATCCAAACACTCATTAAACATTAATTTCCTTTGAATTTTCTTTATGAATTATTAATGAGTTTGAGAAGGATGTGTAAAACACTACTCTGTAACCTATTTATTTCAAGACGGAATCTGAACGAGTAAAAATCATGACTCTATGCCGAGGAAAACAACTGATGATACATCATATCGGCATATAACATGAACTCCAGATACTGGCTTAATTATATTCCAATGACAATACATAAGCCATGCACCACAAATTTCATTTTATGATCTTTTTAGAAGATAAGACCCCTACATTGTGTATACACTCGAACCTACACAAAAACTGGTTCGATCGAGAAAGCAAAGTACCTCATTCAACTTAAAAGAAATGAATATAGTCCTTTTACCCGTGCGTGGTACTTCGAAATCGTTAGAGCAGCTTTTTAAATCCTCTTTGATTGTACCGATGTCAATAGGATTGGTCTTTGCCGTCTTCACATGCTCCTATGCTGTTGGTAGTACTCCGTAGGGTGACTAAAGGAAAATGCACTGTTATATAAAACGACTTCCCCTTGGTTTCTACCTCGTTTACATGGCGGAGTGTTGCTGACGATACCAACTTGACTAGTTTCGCCGCGTATCGATCCTGGAGAAGGAAAAACAAAGTGTAACTATTCATTCAAACTGTAACAATTTTAAAAGTTAAAGTGCGAGTTCTAACTGCAACTTTAGGGGCACACGTGTCTCGAGGGTTCCTTTGCGGTTTTCAAAATTGTTATGTTGGTGGTCGTTATAATGGTGAAAACTGAGGAAAGTACATTTATACTTCTTGAAGGACACTTCTTTTATCTTTCTGCAGTTTAGTTTGTCGTACGATATTAAAAATAACATGCCCGATCAAATTCAGTTTGACACATTTTAAAAAGAAGATCAAGCGGCTCTGGAAAAGATGTAGATTGCCCCTGAAATGATCCTAAAAAAAATGTTCCCAAAACTGACCGGCAAGGCGGCAAGTGATTCCAAGAACACTAAAGATCCCTGGAGTGGCCCGCAAAGGGAATAATGTAGACTGCAATCCTTAGTCATTGGTCACAGCACTTTTTGTCGCCAACTTTTTGTTAATTGTTACCAGGGTCAAGGACCCTACTTCTTGAACAACAAAGAACCGAGAGGAACCGGGCCGCGAAGACTCACAGTGCTAAGTACTGTACCTGTTCTCCGCCTTGGCACTCGCGTTTTTTCAGTGCAGTTTTGGTCTACTTCGAGGTGATACACAAATGATAAATAAAACCGCCTCTCATTGCAATAAACCAGGACGGGCTCCTAAGCAAATCTATGACGTCAGAGCGAATGTTAACAGACACTAGAACTAACCGCCTTTTTTCTTATTACAAGCAAGTCTCCAAGCATACAGACTAAACGTGTTTACAACTTCCGCTCACACGAGTATGACATTTATCGGTCTACACAGAGAATTATCGACCTTGGAGATATTTACGATCATGATTGTTTTTATCGTCGTAGTGCGAACAAAACTCGTAATCCAAACTATTATAGCGAAAACCTAAGGCGATTATCATCACACCGAAAAGTATTGTAATGTGAAGACACTTGACAATGTAATCTAAAATGTTGTCTCTCAAAAACACGACAAACGCTTGTCGATCACTCCTCGTATCAGTACTTGTTACAACTGAGCTAAAAAGCGTAAGGTTAAAAAACACTATACCTTTGATCGTTAATGTTTGGGCTTCCGGTCATAGATTCTGTCTTCCTGTAAAGAAAGTACGTCAGATTATTAAGCCGTCTCTCCTAGCTCTTCGTCGTTAGGGACCTTTCGCGGCAAACGTCCCTAACGACGAGGACCGAGGAGGAAAGGCTGTTTTGCAGGCTTTAATTTAAGGGGCGGGCGTGGTACATTTGGATTCCTGAATCGACGACAGCAATAACAAATGAGTAGCGAAAACGTTCAGCGTCTCACCTCTCTCAGCTCGCCAATATAGTACTTTGCGAGAATCTTTAAGGCTTCTGCTGAGTGACCGATGTCTTGGAACACCGTGGTCGCATCTAAACCTTGAGAAAAGTTATGTCCACTAAGAAATTAGTTAAGGTTTAACTCAATGAACACTAAAATTAAAACAGGAGGAGAAAATGGATCACGTGCAAAGTGAGCAAGTTTAAACTGAGACCATGCGGTCATTCTTCCCCGAATAAAAAAACAAAAAAAGAAAAGAACTGAAGTTAGGCCTAGTGAGCCTTTGAAGAGATCCGCAGCGAAATTGCCAACTCGACACTTTTGCTTTCCTTACTTTATACTACTACATCAGAAATTTCTGCAATTTGATTTGCTTAGAGCAGTGGGATTTCAGCTTAATTTGAAATACCTATATGTGAAAATTTCAAACCTTTTGCGGGTAGTAGTGTAAACAAATAATAGCATGATTTGTACGTGATGTTTGGCAAATTACGTATAACAATTTCGAAGTATCACTCGTGGTATTTATGCAAAATATCACTATAAATTATGCTATTACCCATACTAACTTGACTTAACTTGAAAGGGGCCCCCTTCGTGTGGTAGGAGTAGTTCAGATTTTCTTCTAAAAAAGAATGAAATGGGACGCAAAGTTTCCGGATGTATCGCATAGCTCTGTTCTCCAATGCAGACGTTCGGGAGTTTAAGTGCCGTTCGAGCCACCACAACGGCCAGGGCAAGAGGGAAGGCAAAAAAGCCACAAGTTTAATAACAACCCCGCACGAACATGACCCTTTTTGTCCATTTCATCGCCGTTACTGCACGACTACAACGTAAAACTTTCCAATGCATGTAACGTTTTATAGAGAAATAATCCGTCATGTGAGAACTGGTGACTTACTCACCTGCGTGTTCTAGCATGATCTCTCTGCCACCAGGATGCTGAAATAGAGATACTAAAATGCTGAGCTATTTTCACAACATCATCATCATCATCATTTTTTAAGACGAAAGAGTGCTACAAACAAGGACCAGATACCAGCCAGGGAACTGCTAAAGCCCCGAAAAATAAAAAAAAAAACGACTTTCAAGCCTTAAAAGGCTTGACAACCTCGCTCCCAGAAGATGAGGCAGAAAGTCTATACATTCACTCTTGTTTCAACCTCTCTACACAGAAATATTTAGGGAGATATTATAACTCCAAAAATGGAGTAAAAATTTTAGGTACAGGATAACCCCTTTTTGGGGATTACGTTAACTCCTAATTTAACCCCAAATTTGGGGTCGTTTTTACTCCTGAAAAAGAGTTCTTTTAACTCCCAGTCTGGAGATTAAATAACTCCGAAAATGGGGTTATTTTCACTCCTTACATGGGCTGTTTTTACTCTTTTTGGAGTTACGTTAACTCTGATAATGAAGAAAAAATTTTAGGTACGGGATAACTCCTTTTTAGGGGTTGTCTTAATATCTGGGGTGATTTTTACTCCTGAAAAAGAGTTCTTTAAACTCCTTTTTGTAGTTAAAATAACTCCCCCCCAAAAAAACTCCACTGTAAGGAGTTGAATTAATCCCAATAGAGGCGTTAGTATAACTCCTTGAAATTACTGTGTACAACGGCCACCTCTCTACACAGACCACTTTCTTCTATCCCAAGGTGGCCGTTGTAGACAAGTTCAACTGTATTTTGTTAGCCTGGTGATAAAAATCGCTGTTACAATCACTGGAATTTAGCTTGCTTAAGACAACATCGACAATCCCCACTGAATTTCAATAACGTTAACCACACGAACCACTACCAACCATGCAAACTAACGGTAAATGTTACACAAAATTAAAAGATCCGCATCGACGATTTTCAGGGCAACACATGCACATGAAAAAGACGTTAATTTGGCATCAGACACTCTTCGCGGGACGATCAGTTTGAGTGCAATTAACGAAGCAAATGAGGTTCCGAATAGGCGTTGTGCAGAAAATTGATGACAGGTATGTTATTCGGATACACTTGAGCAGAATTCGTGATTTGGTGTTTCAACTTACGTGAAGCCTGTTCAAAAACTCTAAAAACTTGCAACGCAAAAATTGTACAGAAAATCGTCTGTTGAATCCAAGACAATTTGGATTCTAAATTCCACGCCGTGGATTCCGGATTTAGGTACTAGATTCCGGATTTTTTAAGTGGAACTCGGATTCCGGATTCCAATCATTAGTGGGATTCCGGATTCCTTGAGCTGTATTCCGAATTCCAAGCCCAGGTTTCCGAATTCCACAGCAAAATGTGATGGATTCCGGATCCCACTTGAGGCAAAACCTTCTCGGATTCCGGGATCCGGTGCGAGTCTGTGCACCTATTCTCCACAGTATCAACTTTTAACGCAGCATTGTTGGCCTAAAGATCGTTGTCGCGAATAGGATGTAGCTGCTGCTGGTAGAACTTCTAAACATTTCTTACCTCCCCAACAAAGTCAGTCATATCGTAAACTCCATCTTTTATTACGATCCAGCAGGAGTTTTGGTCAGCATGAAATGAAACTTGCTCCAGAGAGAAAAAATCTTTGCTTCCTTTGGATTCATTCCCTTTTTTGTTCGCTTAAAGTTTCCATACCTTCCCTGAATGTTGTGCGCGTTCTATCCTCCTGCAAACAGTAAATTTACGCAAAGAACTGATCAGTCGCAATCTAAAGCTATGTCCACTTTTGAGTCCGTCGAGGGCTAACTTTAAAAAAAGCTAAAACGTTTTCGCATCAATTGAATTCCAAATATAATGGTCCAGTTTTGTTATTTAAGACTAATAATACATTGAAACTGTTTCCTGTCGTCGATTGCAACGAATGGCATGGATGGACATAGAGTTTGACCAACTTTTTCAAGGTTTGATGCTATACCTGGAAAATCACCGAAATATTTTTTATGCCCAGAACTCTCTTACGAAATTTGTTTGATATCACTTTCATATGACATATCTCTAACGGTGCATTTCAGTTGTGTATGGTTAAGCACCTAGTAATGACTTCAGCACAGAATTGATCTCGTGACATAGCCCGTGGAGCACAGACTAAGTAGTGTGTGTACAGCTAAATCAAGAAAGGTTGCTTCGGTAATTGATCATTAGTAATTGGGCATTGGGCATTTGGGCATATGCAACAAGGCAATCATTTACTTGAGTGAGCACCAAACAATAGCTTCCCAATGCGTAATGACCAATGCCCAAAGCAACCTTTATTGAATCAGCTTTGTACTGTCGGATCAAGATTAATGATCTAAGATGACGCTGATCATGTTGCATCAAAGAAACCGCAACACTCCATCTGAACAAGGATTCATCGGTTCCTTTGATGCATCTTGATTCTAGTGATCTTGAAGTATAAATCATCTTTCGGATTATCCCAATGGAACGCGCCTGTAAACTCGGACTTTACGTGGACCAAACCGTTGCTAAGCTACTTTACTTAATATTTCTACAAAATTGCTGCCAATTTGCAACATTTGTATTTTGTGAAAAAAAAAATCAAAATTTTAGCGATTCAAGTTTTGTGAGTGAAATATATTTCTGCAGTAAAGCGTATAACAGCCTCTCATGCAGACGTTCTTAGCGGTTCCTGCCCCACTAGCACCAAAAATCTATTTTTCAAGCAATCATTCAAAATGTTTTTGTGTATAAATACACTCGTAACAAAGCTGAAAACATATTCTGTTGCTGTACTTGGTTATTCGCTAACTTTGTACTTAATTGATATAAAGTATATAAAACTACTTATTGAAAGCTGCCATAAGTTCTTCCAGTTGTAGGCAATCTGTCGGCCCGTTATAATGCAAGTTAGAGTGCCATCGTCGAAATACTACCCGAAAAAGAATTACCTGCATATGCTGTCTCTACAGGACATGTTTTTTTCTCATTGATAGTGAGGTGGATCAACGTGGAGGTTGAACTTACAACTCAAACGTTCACCCATAAAAGCGACTAATAAGATTACATCTGAGTTACACACAGCTAAATTCTTAACGAGAGCATTTGTTTTGAATATGTTGAACGGCGAGAGAAGAGCGGCATTGTGAAAACGATCAATAATTAAACGATGCAAACTGGACCTTATTGGACAAGTTATTTTATGAATAAGACCAATTGTTTCTTGCATTAAGAGCGTAGTTGAAAAATGCCATATTTCCGTTAACCTGTGATCAGGCATTCTTTTTTGTTTTCGGGGGTGAGGTTATAATAATTAATTATATTTCTGTTAAATATTCGTTTCAGTTTTGTCGATCGTAGATGTTATAACATAATTGAATAAAATTTACCTGTATAAAATGTTTTATACGGTAAAGAATCAATAATATGTCTGAACTCAGTTTGAAACATACCGAGTTTAGTTCTTATACAACTATTAATTTGCATTAAGGGTTTATTTACTGGAAGTTCTAAACTAACTTGTATATTAAAGCTTAATAAGGAAGTCGAATGTCGGAGAGTCGACAGAAGTTTCACGCTTCATACGTCGCCCATTAGTTATACTCTACAACTCCTCGATATTTTCATGCTACCCGTGAAGCAGCACCAAAATTAGATGATCACGCGGATATGTGGATACACAGTCACAAACAGCATGATTGCGATTTGTCATTACAGATTCGTGCAGCAACCTCGGTGTATCCACTTATACGGCTGACTGCCTAAACACTGTAGCGTCTATTCACTTCATAAATACACTTAGAACAGAATATAAAGCACACACTATGTCTAATTGTCGTTTGCACTCTGCAAACTGGTTTGTATAAGCTAATAAAAATACAAAAGCGTTTAAAGGAACGGCTGCTGCTTCCCAGTTCTCAGGAATACAGCTTGGAAGACGCATAACATGCGCGATATCAGAAATATATTCTGTATCTACTGTCTGATGTCGTCCTTCTCAATAAATTATGTGTGTAACTACTGCATCTACGGCTGTAGTAGGTTATCATGGAAATAACAAATGAAATCAGAATAACAGGCTCACCTTGCTTGAGTGTTTAGCATTGGGCATTCACCGATAAATTGCCTCCTTCAAGAAACGCGAATTCAGCTCACTTTGCTGTAGATATATGAACTCATCTGTACACGTAATATTTTGACGCTAAATAATCAACTAAAAAACAAAAGAGCCTATTGATAACCTTTCAGAAACTGCGGCTTAGTTTAGTGAGCTAGTGTGATAATAGTAGTTAGCATTTAAAAAGGGTGTGAGGGGGGTGTGTCAATAGCTGCATTTTGATTGGTCTATTGTGTAGTCACACAATCACCTTTGGTCACACAACTCACTCGTAGCTTTAGGTTTGCGGCGTACAGTGCCGAAAATGATCCTGGACGGGAAATGATCCCCAAAATGGACAGTAAATGATCCTTAACGGCAAATGGTCCCCACTGTCGACCGCAAAAGAACCCCTGAAAGACCTGAAAAATTGAGAAATGGAAAGGTACTGAGAACTTGAACACAGTGTAAAACGTTAACAGTCAAATGAATATAACGACAATATACTGCTAAACAACAACAGGAAATTAAGCTTGTTTTTTAGCAACAACAACAACAACAACCCTATTTATTTGAATTATATATATTTATCATATACACACCAATGAAATACCAGGTGAGCTTTCGCGCGTAAACATGATATGTAACACTGTTGCTATGGCTACTTTATAAATCGTCCCTTGCGCAGGATAAAACTGTTTCAGTGAAATGGTTTGGTATTTCATTGGTTTTTATATAATAAATAGAGCCTTCCGCAGGATAAAACTTCTTTTTTCTTCGAGTGTTGAAAATATTTCACTCGTTCTCTGCGCTCACTCGTGAAATATTTTTCAACACTCGAAATGAAATTTCGCATCTCCGCGCGGCCATGTAATATCCTCTATACATAAAATACTATTACAAATAGAGAGAGTACAGGCACCCATAATAACCATTGAGGGCTAAAGAGATTGGGCAGCCTTATTTAAGTTATTAATAAATGATTTTGATAAGGGTCAACACACGACACAGCTGTACGTCATGCCTGACCGCTGACCGCTTCCCCAAGGAATTAAGAAGTAAAGAGATATGGTGGTTTACACGTGACGTCACCGCGGCCATGTTGGTGGCCAAGAACAAAAGCATTTGTCACCACTGGGAATTTTAAAAACTCTATTTTCATGTAAACTCTTTGAGAAAAAATTCTATTGCTGATTGACCTCCAACATGGCCGCCTTGTCACCCCCTGTCAAATAGTTGCAAACTAAGAATTACTAAAGAAATGTTCTAACAGAGACAATTGTAATCAGTTAAAATAATTTTTGGTGTGAAAATAAACTTCATAAGATGATCCAGTAACTTGAGTTTGCAGTCGACGGCGGTCGAGGATCATTTGAGGTCAGGAGCCGTTATGGGCTAGTGTTGAGGTCCATTTTGGGGATCATCTGCAATAAAAAAGTGCTAATAATTGCATGCAATTTCTTTGTTACCTGATATGTTGAGTCCCATGTAGCCTCCCACGCAGGCGTTTTTAGGGGAGCTCGTATTTCTTCCCTCCCCACAAACGCCGTTTGTGGGGAGGGAAGAAATACGAGCTCCCCTAAAAAGGCCTGCGTGGGAGGCTAAGTCCCATGTTGTGCGAAAAGTTGCGAACATACTTTGAAAGGTGTAGTTCATACAGCGAACAGAGTACCATAGCAAAGGTAGATTTATTGGGGGGTCCAATCACGAGCGCCCTAGTCAGGGGTCCGGGGGCCTGCTCCCCGGGAGGATTTGGAAATATGGGGTCTCTAAAATAGCATTTTCAGCCTTCCGAGGGCATTTGTTTCCAGCAATTTTTAACGAAATGATTAGTTTTCACACTTTGTTGAACTGAAGTGAACACATTCAATCGAAGGAGATCAAACCATTCGTCAAGTGCTCACTTAAAAGAGGTTAAAAACGGTGGAAAATCCCGCGTAAAACAGGGTCACTACCAAAAATGTTCGAGGTCGCTTTTAAGAGACCACGATTTTCCCACCACTTTTAAAGTTTTAAAAGCGGCAGGTGGTCGCACATGGATGGTTCGACTGTGATGTAACCGTAGGGCAGTATCCAGTTTACTTGATAGAACAGTGTTGAATGCAATGAGATCACGTGTGAATGCAAAAAGTGAGAGAGAAACCTCCCAGGGCAAGGACGCGTTAGCGGCCCATTTCTTCAGTTTTCAAGGGTTACACGGGACGATTCGCAACGACGATTTTTACGGAAACACAGCGTTGCAATGTTGGAACAATGTGGTAACTATTCGAAACTATGTCGCAACAATGTTGCAACGCTGTGTTGCTCTAAAAATCATCATTGCGAATCGTCTCGTGTAACATCACCTTAAGCAACAACGACGGCGACGACTTCGGAAACATCACTCCAAAAGTGAAGTCGCGCTGCTGAAAACTTTATCGCGGTTATTCCATCTCCTTCAATTCGTCAAATACCGTTAGCAATATTTTCTGGAGTTGATATCGAGGTCCAGAAAAAGAAAAGAAAGTCATGTTCTTGCAATCAAGTCCTCCACAAAACGTGAAAATAGGCATTTTCACGTGGTAGTCGTGCAGAAATGTACAAAAAAGCGTGATGCACGTGCAAAGTTGTTGTTTTGCCAATCTAAGCCTATTGCTTTTTTGCCGTTCTCGTTGACGTCGCCGTCGTCGTTCCTTAAGCTCCCTTTTATGTATTTCGGAAACACCTAGAATTTACCGAGGGGTAGAACTATAGTCTACAATGCAGCCCTATTTTTCGGGCAAGCGATACAATCCTTGTCCGGGAATACTTTTCAACCCTTATCGTAGGAGTTCAGGCGAAAGATAGGCGGTCCTCCTTCAGGGGATTTCATTGATGAAAAAATGGAAAGTCATTTGAAGTGATTCGTAAACTTAAAGTCATGGTAAAAACGTAAAAGTCGTGGTGACGACTTTCAGTTTCTTCATGAAATTCCTGAAGAAGGAGGGCTTGACTGCCTAAATGGGCCGGGAAATTCAAGTCGCTCTTCTCTTCGCTGTTTTGCTCTGAAAGTTCATATGTCTTGGATTTGGATGTGTTCGTCTTAATCATAAGTGTCTCTAGCTAGCAGGCTAGGGGGAACTAGCCTGTAATCAGACGTTGTTTTATTTTTCTTTTCGTTCTTTTCAAAAACATCGGCCCCTGCGGTTTATATTTTATCACCCACGTTCGACGGACTTTGAAGAGAAAATATAGGGGGTCTGTGAACAGGCTAAGAGGGAACAACAAGGTTTGACCCTGTAAACTTCATGTAAAAACTCGTTCGCAAAACAATATTAGAAAACATCAACACAAGTTTATTTTCATATTTTTTTATACACCCGCAATAAAATAAGACTACTTAAATCTGTAATTAAAATAATAATATTAAATATTTCAATACCTATTTGGATTCGAATTTAACTATATAAGTATCTTCCCAGAAGACAGAACGTTAACCCTAAAAATACATCTGACTGCTCCTTACTGCTTAAAACCTAGTCAGTTTTATTAGTAAGTACAGTCCCGTACTGTTTTGAATCCCGGTTAGGGAGCTTATTAAGTAACGACGTCTTTTAACGATGCATGTCAACCGGTAGAGGACCCTTTGCAATAATTGGGAAGTGATTTTGTCTAAGTTTTAAGGCACAACGTCTCTATGAGAGTTATAACACTTATCAATAAAAATTTGGTAGTGTCAAGGCATAGTAAAGGGTGGAACCTCACTTCCGATTTACTGACATGCGTCGCTCACAAAAGTCTTTGCTTAATTAAGCTCCACTTCTCTAAAGAGTATCACCTCCGAACCGCATGCTTATAAATACATGTTGCAACTCTCGTCTTAAATAAAATGTACACATGAGGAGACGGGTCTGAATATAGACCTGAGCGAGAAAATAACATAGATGTCAGAATGAGAATTAAGAAGTAAATTATTGTCTCGAGATCAGGCCATTCGCTGGCTTCAACAGAACACTTAAAGAAGTACGTACGCCTTAACAAAAAGAACAACGTTTTATACACTTTTTATAAATATGCTTTATCTACGAATATTTTAGTGTATATGCCGCCTTTTGAATAAATAAATAAGAGGCTCTATTTTGATTTAATGATTTCATTCAATCGATGAGAATGTACACAATTCTCATCAGCAATATATAGAGTAGGTTTAATCTTGATCTAACCAACAACGGATTTAGTTATAGCCCAACGCCCTTTTTGTATAAAATCAAAAAAAACTGTTTTCTTTTTCCGACGTAAGTTTTCGATGTACGTATATCAGTAAGAACATTCCTGCAACACTGCCATTTTTGGTCCGATTGCCCAATTTATAAAAAAAATTTAAAATACAATATTTTGGTTAATCGCTCGATCGACCTGCACCCATCCAAACCTCTTATTTTATTGGTCCCTATAACCTACACTACCTATTGTTTTCAGGGATAGGAGCATTGTTATGTCACCATCCCTATTGTTTTCCCAGCCAATCACAAACCTTGTTTGGAATAGGTGCAGGTCGGCCCTAATCGTTCTTTTTTTTTGCAGATATGCAGGTGCCCTAAGATTACAAACAAAATACGTTTATGAACACCAGTCAAAGGAGTTGTATCAGAGATGATGACTTAGAAGAGACGACTGACGTTAGACCAGGCCTGCAAATTGCATGTTGAGCTATTTTGGGATACAGTCACTCTGAATGGTTCGTCTCAGAGCTATCTGACCTTCCTTTATGTATTTTTACTGAACGAAAAGCTGTACAGAAATGTTCTTTCCCATTTTTTTCTTTCACGACAAACTCCAAAACATTTATTCCTTTTTCTTACTGCCGTGACTTATGTAATAAAATTTTGCTGAGATCCACCTTGGGTCATCATTTGCCAAAACTAAATTTGTGCACGCGTCGTCATTGTACTCTTGACCGCGGTGGGATGTTTGGTCAGCCTCAAACACTACAAGGAATGGATCTGAACCACCGTACTAGAAAGCTTGTTCGAATACACTGCCATAGGTATTCGTGATTCATTTAAGCCTAAGGTATAGGCGAATCGTTGCAGACGTCATTGTTTACATTTTTCCTCATTAGCCTACGACTCAACCCCTTGAAGCCGTGGCTGTATATACTAACTAAATTCAAACGTTGAAAGAGCTGATTAACTTGTCAATGAGTTATTTGTGCAATTTTAAGCTCTTTGGAAGCAATATTGAAGGAAATATCAGCCATCGAAAACTACGAATTAAAGTACTAGGTGGCAAAAAAGTTAGCGAGTCATACATTCTTAGTAAAATTTCGACTTTTTAAAAGAGAATTTCTCCGAAACCATTCGGTAGATTGGGCTCATATTTTCAGAGATAACTGAAATTGTTATGCTCCTTCAATATTCAGAGGTTTTATTTTATTAGCTTCATCAGATAATGATGAGTATATGTTAATGAGGAAAAAATGTACACAAAGATTCCCCTATATAAGGGTGGGTACGACTGACCGTATTCCGAAATAAGAATACACAAAAACGTTGATACAAATTCATTTCAAGTAGATTTCTAGATGTTGCGACGTAATGAATGCCAAAACAAGGAATTTCATTTGTTCTTATTTCGGAAAATTATCAGTCGAACACATCCTAAACATAGTAAACTTATTGCACGGGGAGATGTGGCTCTCAGTCTGCACGCTTTTGATTGACCTTCTTCAGTAGCCATAAGCGTTAACTTTATTTCGTAATTAGTTCGCAACAGCAAATATGGTTCGCAACGCTTTGAAAAATCAGTCGACATTATTTGTTTTTCAGTGGAAAGTAAAAAACTTCCTTTCGCGTAATTTAAGCTCGGTTAATTTCTGTATATAATCAGTATCATCATAACAAGAGATTCATTGTCGGAGGTTCAGTCTTCGCGTTTCTATAGTTTCGCTCCAAGAATATTGGACATGATAAGACTAATGTGTGTAATGGGGATAATTTTCATTTTAGTGCTTGATATACTGAATTTAATCTGTCAAATATCATTATTCGACTGTTTTGTCCAATGAACTTGTTATGTGATTTCTCCGAACAAACTGAGGCGCCTTCCACCCAGTGTTATGTTACTTAGCAGACGGTTCATTAGACCGGGTGGTTGATATCTGTATGTTAACTTGCTCCTAAGCGTTAGCAGTGCATTTTGCCACACTGCTCTCAGTTAGTACAATTTGGTTTATACTAGCGTTTCTATTAAGTTTACACTGGCCTGTCCATTTGATTTACACTACCGTTTCTCGTTCACACAAGGAAAGATCTGTCACACTAACTTTTGGCCATGTTTTAAGCGCGTCCTGGAAACTGGACAACTCCGAGAAACACTCGACATATTCGTTAACCTCTTCCAATATCCCTTCAAACATTTCACTGTAATAATCGGGCGCTAGAGGTAATTCAGGGATTGAAACATCACTCTGTTGGGTTAACTCTTTAACTAAGGCAACAGCCTTACCGGAAAAGTCACTTTCCTCCTCTTCGCCTGCGCACGTTGACTTATCCTCAGACTTAATGAAGCAGACTGGAGGATCCGGCTCGTTGATTGGTGGTCCCTCAACTATCAGCGACTTCACACGGTGAACAGCACCACTATAAAGTTCAAGATCATTGTCCTTTATGGTAAGCGAGGTATCGCTTCTGTAGTAGGCCCTCCCTGTTATTAGGTCTTGTTTGAGGCTATTTTCTAATAAATCAGTGTTTATTTTATTATTCGTTTCAATATATAAGGATCGCTTCTCTTTCCTTCCAATCGTAGACTTTACATACGACTGTTCTCGGTTTTGGCGTACCATCGAGTTTCTTGTCTTTTCCGGTTCGATGTGCACGCTCAATTGCAGGAGGTGATTCCACTTGCAATTTTTCAGTGAACGTCTCCTTCACTTTGACTTCCCCGCGCACGCCTCAACTTCTCTCACCCCCAAAAACACATAAATAGCGACTGGGTACGAGCCGGATGCAGAGAAACTCAGCCACAGAGATAGTTGTTTTCTTGAATGGGAATTGCCTTTAATGAAGATGGTAGGGTGGCTTACTGATTGTGTGGTAGTTTTAATCAGTGTTGAATTTTAATCGCTGCTTCCAGGGAGGTAAATATTGTTGCGGATCAGGGTTGTTGTTGTTTATATCGTGTGTTGCTGTGCTTGCGTGGCCTTTAAAATTGTTTCATTGTTCCTTTCAAAAACAGCGTGCCTTCGGGAATAAGCTGTATTTAGTTTTCATATTCGGTGTATGTAAATAAAGTCTGGTGTTGAACACACAAGTGACAAATAATTGGCCTTAAATCACAACTTAAATTAATTCACCAAATATTTGATAATTATTTCTATTAAAGAAGAAAAACGTTTTTAGTAAATGGAGAATACCTAGTTATAATAAGAATAAAGTGTAATAACGATAATAAGTGACATATAGTAATGGTATAATTAGTATTGTACTGTAAATATAAGTATTTTGAAAAAAAAAAATAGAGAAACAAATCATGCTTAAAAAATGGTACTCTTTGTATTATTGGTAACAACAATTTTGCTGTATGATTTAGTCTTCAACATTAGTTGCTTTTTCCTTGAGAAATACTTTTTCTCGTTGCATCTTGTGGCATCTGTTTTATTTAGTCATGTCATAATGGCCTCTATTTCAGAAGCATTTTCAAACTTTGCAAGGCTTCCTTACAGTCTTTATATCCCTTCAAGTTTCTGCCAAACTCCAATTAAAAAATGGCATGCTAATGGAGTGGGGCATTTTTTGTCACTAAAATTGATTCAAAGTTGGGTGTGCTTCAGTGGGCAAAGTTACTGTTATTATGCTTGTGTTTGCAACAGTTTAAAACAAGGCATTTCCATCTCATCCTCCTATCCAATTTACTCTATTCGACTTCAACTCTAGGTTGTGTTGTAGTTACAGTCATCGTCCTAATGAACTGGAAAGTCATTTGCAACACTTGTTCAAGGCACATTGCAAAGTACTTCCGTTTTTATTATAAAATGGTTTTTACATCTGCTTGAACCTATTTACAAGACCTGCTTACAGTTCAAGTCAACATCCAAATACTCCCTTGTGCAATATTTTTGGAGTCTAGCATCAACGGTTTTTCTTTCCACTGTTATGGTTACATGCCTTTTACTGTATTACAGCATCTTGTTTAACATTACAACAATTCAATCTCTGGTAGTGGGAAATTCAGTTCCCTTTTACTTAGCAGCCGCTGTTCTCGTTCTGACCATATCTGCTCTACCCTATCGATTTCTGGCAGTTTTGTGTTTGGTAACTGCAATAACAGTTGGTGAGAGCTTTGATTCTAGTTCCATTCATCCTACAGACATTCCTCCATTGTTCCCTGCTTTGTATCTTTTCCTTGGCATGTTATTAAGCTATTCTTGTCTGAAAATGGTAAAATTTCACCACCCTGGCTTTTTCCTCAACATGGTGTTCAAGTCAAAAAGGTTCGTTACCTCTATTCTAGTTCTAGATATAACAGGAAAATCACACTCTTTTTCCTTTGCACCACATGCAACTGTCTTTGACTTGAGATCACAGATGAATTCCAAATTTAACATAACTAGTGATTTATACTGGCTATCAAACAGAGGTAAACCTTTGCATGACTTTGTGTCATTAAAAGAGATATCAGGGGCAGTAATTATGAATGGGCGTTTACCTGGAGGTGCTAAATGTTGCCTTAAGGGGTGTGAAAATGATGCAGGTGCACGCAAATTTGACAGCCTTATTGGCAGAGGGGGTCATAAGCCTGCAAAAGGTAAAAGTTCATCAAAATCTCGAAGTGATGCCCAGCGTGGCATTCTAAAGGTCACTCCATGCATTGTGCAATGTTCCCAGTGCAGAAATGAAATCTGTCCTTCCAGTGACGTTCCCTGCAATAAACAACATAAATGTACTGAACAACTTGTTTGCAGTACCATGCAACTTTCTAGATGAGCAAACTGGAAATAAAACTGATTTTCACAATGATAGATGAGCAAACTGGAAATAAAACTGATTTTCATAATGACCTTTATCATGCTAAAGATTCAATTGACGAATCTAAAGCAAGCTACATATGTATATCATGTCAGTGCTTCTTTCAAAGATCTGTAAAAATACAGAATGAGTAAGAGAAGGCTCAAGCTATGTTTGAAGAAACACAAAAGTGTTCCAATACATCATCTTGGTCTGACCCCGCTATTGAAGCCACACCACAAACAGGAAGCTTCGCTTCCACTCAAATGCCTGATGAACCTGAAACAAAATTTGAGTTGCCCTCAATTTCAAATTTAAAAGTAGGGATTTTTACAAAAGGACTACAACATCTGTTGGAAGACCAAAGACCCACAAAAAATACAGTTGAGGGCTGCTATGCCTCTGAAGAAAATTTCTCATTAACATTAACAGTAACATTTTCAACTTCCAATACAACCGATAAGAGTCTAAAGGTTGTTCTTACAAGGCCAAATATAACAAAAGGTGTTCAAATACCTAGGTGGAAAGAAATAACCTTTCTCCTTCCCTTAAACATGCCAAATGCAACAAATGACATTTTTCATTTCTCAGTTCACATCATGGGAAACAAAGTGGATTATGGGGAACTTCCACAATTCATCTTTCAGCCAAGCATTTTTAAAACTGCCCTACACAAGATACTGAAAACAATTGATGACTTACCTGTTTGTCCTGGAATAAATGATCCAGCAATAATTGATATTCTTGCCGAAAGAATAGAACTTACCTCTTTATACCAAGTTGACTCTCAGAGTTCAATTGCTGATGGAAAAATTGTTAAATGTATAAGAAGCACTAAGTGTTCTTACATTATACCAAATGAGTCCAAAGTAAGATGTCATGAATGCCAGGGTTTTCTAAGGTCTCACAGGTGTTTGCAAAAACACTCTTCTCCCGAGAGTACACAATCCAAGACAGCTCATGACTGCCATGTTAACCTCAGCAAACTATCTCGTGCTGAACTCATTACCAGGGCAAAAAATCTACACAAAGTGGTTGCCCAAAACCAAAGAAAGGCAAGACGATACTACTTTTTGTATCAGAGAGAAAAACAAAAAAAAGTTGAAGCACCCAAAAATTACAACCCAACATCCTCTGGCCTTGGACAATCGATGAACATTGCCTTACAAAACCAGTGGCTTACTGAAAACTCTGTTTTCTATGCCCTCCTGACTGACACTTTAACATCACTTAAACGTCAGGAAGAGGAATTTTTACGGCATGGAAATCTAACTAAAAGTAATCAGAAGCCACACCCTAAGGGAATGAGGTATAATCCTCTTGTTATTAAATGGAGCTGTCTGATAGCTAGCAAGTGTCACAAGAGGGGATACGATGTGGTTAGAAGTATTCTGCCTATACCAGCCTGGGAGACTATTAAGCAATACAGGCAGGCAGCTAGCACAACAAGCCCCATATCGCACCAAAATCTAGCACACACAGTGCTACAAGAAATGACAAGAAGGGGTTGTAAAGGAGTCGGGGGTATACACTGGGATTAAATGAGTGTGAAAGAAGGAAAAGTACTGTGCAAAAGGACAGGAGAATTGATTGGCTTTGAGGATTTAACTCTGAACTCAATCTGAGTCCACATGATACTGAAAATGAAGATGACAATGATGAAAACACATCTGAATCAAGTGATTCTGACACTGGTCCCACTGATTCTGACTCTGACGCCGATGGAATATTTTCAAATGAGAAACCTACAAATCGATCTAAAAAGGCCAAACTTATTTGCCAGTTTTTCTACTCGTCAATAGAGGGGAATTTTTCATGGCCTGTAGCCTCTTTCCCACTACAAAAACTTGACCATAGAGCTCTTTCTTCTCTGGTTTGGTAAGTATGTGAAGCCGAAAATGGGAAAAAAATAGAAGTTATATATGGTGTTTCAGATGGTTCCACATATTCACATGCCTTTTTTAGTAGAGCTGGAGCACAGAACTGGGTGACATATAATTCCTTCAATGACAACAAACCAATTTGGTGGCTTTCAGATTATCCCCATATGATCAAAAAATTGAGAAACTTCATTGTCAATCCTGATGGGCAGTTAGAAAAAGAGGGTAGAAAAATAACAGCTGATCATTTGATACCACTGAGTTGTAAAACGCCAGCTAATCAACCTAAACTGGAAGCATTTGAAGTTAACACCTAGGACCAAAATGAGTGTCTAAAGGGCTGTCACCCTTTGCTCTGTTGATGTAGCATTAGACATCGTTAAGGGACCTTTACCCCCTGAAGAAACAGTTGCAACACGCACTTACATAAACCAGTGCTACAAATTATTTAAAATATTTAACAACAATTTAGAGGTTGATCCCAAATGTTACAAAGAACTTTTAAAAATATTGCTCTGGTTTGATAACTGGTACAAAGAAACCAAACAGGAAAGTTCAAAAGCAACCAGTGGTTTGAAAAACCACTGGAAAAAATTCATACCTAGGATCTCATTCAAAGACCTAAAGAGAAGCATCAGAGCTTTCCTGGGGGTAGTTCACTATGTTCAAATGCATCATCCAGAATTACACATGATTCCAAAGACCATGTGCCGGAATGATGTTGAAAATTACTTCTCATTGCAACCTGCAAGAGTGTCAGGAGGAAAACCAACAACATTACAGTTTTTTTGAGTCATCTGCTTCTTTGGAAACTGAACTACTTCTATCTTCTGAAATGAAAGACACACAAGGAACATGTGGCTCTTATGATATGACAGCCCTTTCTAATCATTCTGGTTTCTCTTCCTCTATCTAAACCAAAACAAATGTCTCCTGACCGTACGACCTACTTCAGTGAAAAAGAAGGATGGGAACTGTATGATGATGAGTTGTTCACTTCTGGTAGTGTAACTGAAGGGACATGGGACTTTGATGAAAACTTCCATGATGCTGCAGATAAACAACAGCTATCTTGGTATGTCAAGTCAAGCAAACCGTTGAATATATTGATCTCTTTTGCCTTGCTACAAAACTACAAACATGCCAACTTATTCTGACTGCCTTACATGCAAATGAAAACCATAATCATGTATTACTGTTTGCAAGGCAACTCGACTACCATCTACGCACTAAGTTTTTTACGGGAAACTGGTCTAACAATTCCCTTCAAGAAGCCATCAATAAACTGAAGGTTGATAGAGAACTTTCTTTTTATTGGAAAAAACTATTACAAAAGGTTTTAATTCCAGAATCACAAGTAAGACTCTCATGTAAGGTACTTTCTGCTTTTGTGAGAAAATTTACAAAAAGAAGGTGCGTAACATATTTAGCTAGAGATGGTCTTGCACCAAAACATGGAGAGGATGAGTCTGCTGTACGACAAATGCTAAAAAAGTTTAATGAAAAATATAATGCAAACTTGACAGCAAAGGCACAATCAAGCGATGTTTGTTTTCGTTGCCATAAACAAGGTCACTGGGCAATTGACTGTCCTGAAGGACATGAACCAGAGTGGCTGGCCAAGCAAAATTGCTACTTATGTGGTAAAAAGGGTCACCTTAAAGTAGCTTGTCCAAACAAAATTAAAACTGATGATCAGTTTAAAACAAGGCGAGGCCCTTCATATTGGAAATTTAACTCTAGCTTAATTGAGGATGAAAAACTATTCCGCGATTGAACAAAAAATACCAGAATGGCTTGAGGAATTCATTGACGTGACCGATAAAAGAGGTTTATGGGACTTAATCAAATACCGCATAAGACAATTTACTATGAAATATAGCAAAGAAATTGCCTTTAAGAGAAAACAAGAACTCCTGCAAATTGAGGCTTCGATAAAACAGGCAGAGGAAACTTTGATATCTGACCCATCAGC